ACTTTTCAAGTATTCATTTAGGGGAGCATGTGTATTAGCTGAACCTTTAAAGTATCTTTTATAAAAGTTAATCATTCCTAAAAATTTACGAAGTTCGTGAATAGTTTCAGGAAGTTTATGGCTTGTACTTTTTTCTGGAAGAGGTTTTGAGCCAGTTGGTGTTATCAAATATCCCAAAAATTCTAATTTGTTCAGTCCCATCACAGATTTCGATAAATTGATGCGTAGTCCATACTGTTGAATTCTGTTAAATACTGTTTTTAATTAATCTGTTATTTTATTTATTTATTTTTTTTTAATATGAAGATTTCTTCATTTGATGGGTGATGGAGATGGAGTTCTTCAGTCTGCTTTTCCAATGAAGATATTTTTTCCTGTAATTGGAAAGTGGTTGGCGAAACACTTGAATTCTTAACTTCAGTTGAATGAGTCTCATATAAGTCAGTTTGTGAATGCATGTCAAAAATCTTATCAGCCATAATCGTCAATTTATCAATACCTTCATCACTAACCGCCAATATATCTTTGATATGGTGTGGCAATTTGTCCATCCATAATGTTTTTAATACCATGTCAGAAATATCACTAGTTGCCAAGGATTTCATTTTTTGTAATATATGACTAAATTTCATGTCACCAATTTCAATGCCAGTGAAAAAGGCATTTTGATTCCTTTATTTTCACTTTCTTTAAATATATTTAATAAATGTTCTTTTGCCAAGGAATATTTGTTTTCAGTCTTATCAGTTATTATATTATATCCCAAATAGTATATACATATTTAGGTTCCATTTGTGAGACTATGTAATTAAACTTGGTATCTTCATTTCTTATACCATTAATTTTAAACTGTGCCTCTATCTGATAAAACCAGATTTTTGGCTTATGTATCCAAAAAGGTGGAATTTTTATACTGACCTTCATAGTTTCTGAAAAATTTGTGCCATTTGACTGGCTTTCTGTCTTTGCTGTAATTTCCATAATACACTCACTTCCAAAAGTTAAGCACAGAGAGGAAAATGCTGATTTATGGAAGCCAATCAGAATTGAAGAGGATGCAATTCGCTGCAGAGGTAGATGGAAGTATGCAAATAGGTAACAGCCAGTTGTTCTTTCATGTCAAGAAATATACAAAAAAGTCAGTCGTATAAGAAGCCACTTATAAAGGGTTACAGAAAGTTGTATGTAAGTGTGATAGAGGTGTTTAAAATTTCGTACAATTGTTTTTAAGACATACGTTTCTAGACTTCCAGAAGACGATGGAAGATTCTGAGCGCTGGTGTACTGTGGGGTGCATTGAAGCAGGACAGTCGATCACAGCTGTTGCTCTTTTCTTCGGCGTGTTTCATTCTGTAATTTCACGTTTATAGAAACAATTCCAAACCACACAGACAGTTGTCTGAAGACTCGTAGCCGGTCGCCCAAGGGTTACAACCCCCGTGGAAGATCGATATATTGCTATTGTAGCCAAGCAGAATCGCTGAGCGACCTCCACATGTGTGACATCTATGGTTACAGCGTCCATTGGTAAGGCAATATCTGCAGCTACTGTACGCTGAAGATTACATATGAATGGACTGTATGGCGGGTACTCGAGTTCTGTTCCTCATTATCCATCAAGAGGGGCACCAATTACAGTGGTGCCGAGATATGTCAATTGGAATTGTCTGATAGGGCAATGTCATGTTTATGATGAGTCAAGATTTGCTCTGGAGCCAGATGACAAGCATATAAGGTAAGGGTGAACAACGACACGAATCAGTCCCAAAACATCACCGAGCATTGCGTCGAGGCGTGAAGCATATGGTGTGGGCAGATTTATTAGGATACTGCCCGATCTGCACATCTTTAAATGGGGTTCTTTGATGGTTGTCTGGTATCGAGATGAAGTCCCAGAACCCATTGTGAGATTGTATGCTGCAGCAGTTGGCCCTACTTTTGTTTTAATGGAGAATACGCACATCCCCATAGAGCTGACATCGTCGATGACTACCTCGAGAGTGAAGGGATTGCGCATATGGCGTGGCCAGCTTATTCGCCTGGCCTTAATCCCACTGAAAATCTTTGGGATGCTCTCGGCCATGCTGTATCTTCATGTTTCCCACCTCCAGCCACTCTTATTGAGCTGGAAACTGCTCTACAAGAAGAATGGCGATTGCTTAATTCTACGATGGTTGACCACCTAATTGAAAGCATGGTCACAAGGTGTAAAGTGTACAGATGAGGAATATCACATACCCTATTAATGTCCTTTTCATTTATTGTTTATTTCACTTTATACATAATCATTATCTGATAACTTACAATAATTTAATATTGTTTTCAGTTCTCTGTATAATTATTGATTTTGTTTTATGCATGCTACTTTCCTGCTGAATTGTGTGTCAATCAAAGCAGTATTTGTTGATTTTTTTTGCATTTTACAACTTCGTGCTTAACTTTTGGAAGTGAGTGTATCTTTATGATATAAAAATAGCAAAAGCGACACCAGTAGGAATACAGTACAAAGTCCGTAATCCAGATGCCCATTATCTGGAATGACCTATAATCCAGACCTCAAAGCCGCAAACTTACACCATGCGCGTAAAGGGTTTACGCATGCGCGTAAAACAAGTAAAGCGTTTACCCATGTACTCTTTCAATAGTGAAGAAAGTTATGTTGAAAGAAATGTTTAATAAAATAAACAAATAAATATTACACCTTTTTTTTTTTTTTTTTTTTTTTTTTTTTTTTTGTAAATTTTGATACCTTTTAGATCATATTGCTTTTTATTTCATAAATTACGGTTTCATATTTTTAATTGTATAATTTCTGCATGCAATCTTACCAGATTTAATTTGATGATCTATAATCCGGAAAAAAAACCTAATCCGGAATGGCTGAAGTCCTGATGAGTCCGGATTTCGGACTTTGTATCAGAGTTAAAGACTATGTCCAAGTACAAAGACAGTGTACTTTAAATTTTTTAAATGTTAATTAAATACTTTACCAATTGTCATACTGGTACAGATCTATTGTACATAGATGATTATAACACAGGTAAAGACAGTCTGAAAATTGCAGTGAAATTTTTATTTTATTTTATATACAATTTAACTGTTTTTCTTTCTTTCTTAGGTAGTTACTTTGCAAGTCATTTCATCATGGGTGGAGAACGCTTCGAAACTACTCAACCAGAAGCATACCTGTTTGGTGAAAATATGGACCTTAACTTCTTGGGTGGCAGACCTACTCCTGTGAGTTTAAGCTGTATGATAAAATTAATTGATAAGGCATTTATATAATTTGTAAAATGTTAACTGAAATGAACCATAATATTTCATACTTTTATAGTTTCCTTATCCTGCACCACAGCCAAATGAACCTACGCGAACATTAAGAAGTTTGATGAACATAAGGAAAGAGTCTCTGCGATTTGTAAAGTATGTATTTTCAGAGGTTGTAATGCCTTAAATTCTGTTGCTTGTATTAAATGTTTGAAAAGAGCTCACTTGAAGTTTCTGATGAATATTTATAATATTTCATCAGTTTTCAGTTGCATCCCTTAATTTCAGTACTACTTCAAACAACAGCAAAAAAAGACCGATTCTAAGAAATTAAAATAATAAAGTGCTGAAGCACATCTTGCAAGTGGTTTTTAATTATCAGCAATGATTTGGTAATAACAGTAATATATCTGTTTGAATGAGCTATTTGGGAAAAAATTAGTGATTTTTGGAATATTGTAAACTGTATGAACTGTATGTTGGACTTGTAAACTGTATGAATATTTGAACTTTAATTTAGCTTTCTATTTATTATTTTCAAAATTTCTACACTTTGAATGTGGAAGAATATTGGATTTCAGATGAGGTGCAGTTTGTATTTTATGCCTACTTTCATTTTGTTTTATTTACTTAAAATGCTTTTTTCTCCACTAGTAAATAATTATAATTCGTTTTGTTTCTTTGAAGTGGCAACCAACCATATTTTTGAATAAGCTAAAAATATGTGCATGTAATAGGCTCATTAAAGAATGTCTTGTTTTCATGAGTGATATTTTATTGAAGATCCAGACCTAGTTCGAAACATATTCTAATAACTTTAAAATATTTTTATTAGTCTCTAGAGTCCATGATACGCTGACAGCATAATAGAGTCAAAAGTCGTTAATCCAGACTCGTCGGGACTTCGGCGATTCCGGATTATAGATCATCAGTTTAAATCTCGTAAGATGGCATCAGAAATTCTAAAATTAAAAATATGAAACCGTTATTTGAAATAAAGAACAATTATGATCTAAAAAGTATCAAAATTTGCAAAAAAAAAAGCTTAATATTTATTTGTTACTTTATTAAACCTTTCTTTCAATGTAAGTTGTTTAAGTTTTGCTTCGTTTCATGGATAAACTTTCTCTTTAATCTATAAACAGACATAATTTCTTGTTCAGTTACAAAGTTCCGCTGTTCAAGTCCTGTAATTGCTGTGTCGAGAACACCGACTAATTTGTCAATCGAAATTTTTTCGTTTTCAATAACCTCTGTTACTTTCTTCGCTATCGGAAGCGAATTATACGAGGAAATTGTTTTAAATCATATCAAAGACGGAGCATATCGAGATGAAATACTACATTTGGTAAGGAATTATAAGCCAAATAAAATAACAACATCTGCGCTGAAGATAAGGATAGTGCTGACAGATCAACTTCCAATTCATTACGCGCCCGCCGCGACGTCCCCCCCCCCCCGCCGAGCAGCGTGAAATTGATAAACAGATTTCGGATTTCAAAACATACTTTCGCTTTAGATCCTTTACATATTAACAAATATATATCAGAAATTCTATTTGATATAATCGAAAGTTTAAGCTTACTTTTTAAAATTGCTCTTACAGTCTGCAAAAAATAATAAGCTGGATCCAATTCGAAAATTAAGGAACAACGCAATCATCAACATTAACTGAAATAGATAATTAGATAATTTTAGCTTATACGTCCATTATACATAAAACGCACACGCGAAAACGTATTCTGCACTTGCGCACACTCATATGCGCAGTCGAAAAGGTCTTACGTGCACGCGTAAACGCCTATGCGCATGTGTCAACGCGGCACATGCACAGAAAGTTTTTAGTTTTGAGGTCCAGATTATAGATCATTCCGAATTAACGACTTTTGACTGTAGTTGGATTTGATTAAAGGTAGATTGTTATGTGAGGTATGAAAAGAATTGTATTAGACAGTCACAATCAGTAGTTATATCAGAAGGAGACTTTAAGGTACCCCTTGTATTATGGCGAAGTTGTTGTTTGATTTATCACCAAGTTGTTGTTTCATTTATGGTAGCCTGAGTAGTTTAATGTTATGGAAACCCTATTTGTGACGTAATTGGGTGAATTGATTCTGGGAAATTTTGAATCTTGGGATGTTTTGTAAGCATTTTTGTGGTGTGTGTTGGTTTGTTTCTTTAGACGGTAGAATGGCCGAGTGTAGTAAGATTAATTTGAAGTTTCTGTACGATTTGGAGTGAAAGGGGAAAAGAGCTTTAATTGACTGGTGTGTAAATGAAGGTTTACTTAGTAGCCATTATAAGTGCCTTGTATGTAGGAAGGATATGCGTCTAGTCGAACGCAAAAACTGTTTAGATGGATTTGAATGGGATTGTAGGAAGAAAGGTTCAGATGGTCACTATGTGAAGCGTTCGATCAGAAAGAATACCTGGTTTGAAAAAAGTCATTTGAGTATGATTGGTATTGTGATTTTTACGTGGCTCTGGGTGTACGAAGCGAACTCGAAAATCGTGGTAAGTGAATATTTTCTTTTGATAGTGCTTAAATGTAGAAAATGGTTTTCCTTTTTTATGTTATTTTATTGTTTGGTTTAAAATGTATTTTATTGAGATTATGTATATTTTGTTTGCCTGTATTGTAGAATTTGGTGCTCCTTTGACTTTTTAAGTGAAAATATATATCGATGTGTACATGGACAAAGTAAAGGGAGTGCGCAATGCAAGTTAGTGCAATTCTGGGATTTTTTTTTAAGTGAAAATAAGTCGATGTGTACATGGATACAGAGTTTGTGCAATCGTTTGTCTAGTTATTTTGGCTTTGTGTAAATCGCCGCTTCGCAAGCCAAAATAACAGGTCAAAGAATTGCACAAAATCGGTATCCATGTATCGCCAAGTTTCGCCAAGGGGTGCCCTAAACTATACTTTTACCCAGAAGGCTTTGAATGTATTATGGCTTACAGAATTAAAGTCTATCTTAAAAGTTAAAAATGGTATCACATAAAATATAGTTATAATTTTCTATAAGCAAATTCAGTTAAGCAGGAAACGAAGCAGTTTAAAGAACTTTCAGTGTGTTACCTAGTGAAGGATCTGTTAAGCCTAGCATGAGCAGTGAAACAGTTGACCCATGGTTTCCATTGAAGCCTGAGGAAATCTGTTTGTAATGCCAGTAGAGAACTTTGCATTCCAAAATCTACAGTTCCATGGTATCTTATATAAAAGAAATTAAGCCTGATGCATATAAAATTCAAATAGTGCAAAATATTTTTCCAAATGAACGCAGTGTGTGATCCAAATTTGCTGTGTATAACCTGAATCAGGTTGAAGACAAAAATTTTCTCATGTTGTTATCTTTAGTGATAAATCCACATTTCATGTATTGGGTGCTTTAAATCATTACAACTGTCTGATGTGGAGTAGTGATTCCCTGCATGGTTCTATTGAACTAGAGCATTATTCTCCAAAAGTTAATGTGCAGTATACCAATAAAATAAAATGACTGTTCCTTTCTTACATGAAAACATCATAAATGGTGGCATCTACTTGCGTATATTGGAATAAGCCAGAACTATTGTTATAACCCAGAACTATTGTTATAACCAGAACTATTGTTATTATAATATTGTTATAACCCAGAACAAAGCACAGCATTGGTCAGTGTGTCAGCATAATTACCTAAATAAGTATTTTACTCGTGGACGTATTATTTGTGATGATACTATTTTGTAGCATCCTGGCTTTTCAGATACAGAAAATATATTACCTTTTGTTATTTTATTGTTAGTCAATAAAAATATTTAATATCTGCCTCTTCTAGCTTTTTTTGTGTCCAATAATTTTCAGTCACCGTGTATATTTTTGCAACACAAATATTTTATTTGTTTATTTAACTAAATGGTAAAATAATATTGAAAAATTTTTTATATATTTTCATACTTTAATTTAAAAGTGTACGTAAAATGTTTAAAATGTGTCAGCCAAGTGGCTGAGTGAATAAAAGTGCTAAACACTGGTAGTTCAGCTAAATTTCATATCCTGGAGAACTGATTGCATTGTCTTCGATATTTATTCATAACATGAATTAAAGTTTAAATGTCCTTTACGAAGGCACCTAATGGCAAAGAGCTCTTGGGTGTTTTTAAGTTAAAATCAAATTCTCCAATGCTTTAACTAATTGATCATATTTTGATGTTTATTAATATGTCAGTTTAGGTTTATTCTGTATGTGTATAGAAATATCATAATTCCATATCATTCTGCTATAAATCAAGGAGTAGCACCTGCCTTCATCTTTTCCAGAATTTGCACTTTTTGCGTTATCGTCAATGCAACGTCTTTACGTTTTTCAACATTGCAAGCAGTAAAATCATGAGTGTGTTTCTTATCTGTCATTGTATTAAAAAGGGCTGAAATTTAAAATATTCTTAATTGATCCACAAAATATCCAGATAAAAAAAAAAGGCAGCACTAAACAATCTCGTGAAATAACAAAGCTCAGAAAATACAACAACGTGAACTTGAACGAAGAGTTGAGTAAATCGTCTGCTTTTTTACCTCGATACAGATGACAGGGAGAAAAACTTCTTATTTATTTTATCTTATATTAAAACTTTTTTTATGTCAATAATTTGGTATTTCCGTTATGACTCATTATTATTCGGTAATTATGACGTCATTATTCGTTAAGTATTTTTTCTTCGATATTTCGTACTCAATGTTGCGTTTTCTGGAACCTATAAACTGAACGTTTATATTTTCAGAGGCAATGCGGATTTCAGAAGTTGGCGGATTTTCGGTATTTGACTGTATTTACATATTATCCTGTTGACTGTGATAGTTCATGAAGATCCCGCCAAATCTGTGCCAGTCATTCCAGCAGAATTCTAGTGGAAATGGTGTATCTTTATTTAATAAACAATAAGATATTACTTTTTATTTATATAATTGACAAGCACAAATTACAAATTCAGTGCATTAAAAAAACTACATATATTTAATTCAAGCTTTTAAATTGACAAAACAATTCATTAAAACCTGTGCCACTTTCTCTGCAGCCAAAAATGCCTAATAGCATTCAAAGTAGCATCAAAATAGATATCCTGCAATTTTACCAGAAGCCCTGTTTGTAATGCTGTGAGCATAAACTAATGTTCAGTAATAATTCCAATCTATTGCTTTTTTTGTCATTGATATTCAGCTGTTCTTTTCTCTGTTCAACAGATGTAAATTCTCTCAACCAGCTATAAATGAACTGGAGTGTAGTCACAAATGTGATTCTGCAGCTCTTTAACCACATTCCATTTTTAATGGATTTTTTTTTCCCATGTTGATTGCCATTATTTATCTATTTTCAAATAAAGTATTGTATCCAATAGTATACATGTTTTTATGCTAGTCCATAATTTAAAAAATCTGATGTGTACACCACATGACTTCCTTGTACGGAATATTAAATTATATGCATTTTTCTTGCATTTCATTTAAACTTATTGGATTGAATTAAATCTACGTCGCCGACAGCGCATAACCCACAATAGAATAAATGCATTCTTTAAAATTCACTCTAGTATTTGTTTACCATAGCGACACTCTGGCGCTAGATTCACTTAAAAAATTATTACTTTAATAAATTTGTATTCTGTCAGTTTGCGCACAGTGCTTCAGTACAAATTTTAAATTTTCGGAAAATACAGTTAGTTTTTTCTTTATAAAACAAATTCTTATACACTGTTAAGTTAATAAATCAAGAAAAGATAATCATGATTTATAAGATGACACCACTGAAAATTTCATATAGTATGACAAAACAATTGACTTATTAAAACTCGAAAATCAGCTGAAATTCTCACTTTTGTGTAGCGCAAAAGTGACCCCTTTCGTATATATTTCGTTCATATTATAACTCATAATGCACAAAATTTATATCATTTAAAGAACAGAATTATCTAATCGTTGCCACATGTTCTATTCAAATACTATAATAAAGCTAGAATGATGTACAAAAGAAATTAAGCAAACAAAACAAAAAAAGAAACAGTTTTTCACAGACGATTGAGTATTTCTCATTTAATTAATTCAGTTCTCACTTCGTGTGAAGGCAAAAATACATAAAAACTCAAAATATCTATATTAAAAATTTCGAAGTAAATCTTAAACACTTATTTCTTCGAAAAAATTCCAGAAAGAATTAAGCATGATTTAATTGGCAATAATAAATTAACACGTTATCTTGTTGTTGCGAAGCTAAGTTTCTCTAGATTGGCAACAAATCCACTAGTCTCCTGTTTCAAATGTAAACATCAATGGCCGCCATAAAAAAAAGGCTTAGCGGCACATAGACAACTTTAAAATTGTTGATAAGTCTAAAAATATTGCATACAGATTTACTAAAGGCATAAAAACCTTAACCGGAAGATAAAAACAACATAATACAATCATTTTTAAAGCAAAAAATGTACAATTTACAAACATATAAGAGTAAAGAAACTGAAATCACTGAGCCAGGTAACAGAGTGGATATATATATAAATATATTTATATACGTTTGGTGAGGCCGATTGCAACCAAAATACGAGGTGCACATCTACATGTTATAGCAATCCTATATACAAAATTTCAACGTTCTGAGGCTACTCGTTTTTTAGTTATGCGAGATACGAACACGAAAAATTCTCTTCAGAATTCATTTTAAAGCAGTTTTATAATTTTTTTGAAGGAAAAGAGTAGTTTATTCTGTCCTTACGTACAGATATCACACAAAAACATCGTTAAATTGCATTCGATAGCGGTCAAAATGGATATTTTCGTTGAAATATGCTGCTTGAAACTTTTCTCGATTACAATACTTCCTTTTTACTTCGTACAAGGAAGTAAAAATAATCCACTGCTTACTTTTTCTCAAATTTTAATTTTTTTTTTTTTTTTTTTTCAAAATCAAGGAAAAATACAGCAAAAACAGTTAGTTTGTATCCTTGCTCATAAAACCAAAAGGTAGCTTATCAAGAATTAGTCAGGATTACATATGAAAGTGAAGATTATGAGTCTGTTTCGTCATCATGCTTATGAATAATTGGTGCTAAATCAACTGCTTGGCAAAAGTTTTAGGGTCAATCAAATAATATGATTACCAGAAGGCATTATTAAGATTTACACTGTGTAAACTGCTAAAAATCTTTTAATTGAGTAAAGCTGCTTGTCAAGCTGCTTTTAAAAGTAGCTGTGAATGCTTTTGGCTATAAAATTTCTTTCGCTAAAACATAAAAAATTTACGTACATAATTATAAAAAATTGTGTATAAATTTTAACTTAAATTTATAGCAATTGAAAGAAATATACTTACCATATATACCCATGTATAAGTCGATACCTCGTAAAGTCGACCCCCCCCCCACTTCGACATAAAAAATTCGTAGAAAATAAGAAACCCGCGTATAAATCGACCACCCCTCCCCCCCCACTTTCGAAATCGATCGAGAAACTTCGAAAAAATTTTTTTAAGTACTACGTTTATTCAAAATCATCTGAGAAAAAAAAGTAAATATACGATAAAAAATACTTTGGTAAATAAACAAAATCAAAATCCTTCAACGTCCGATTCATGGTCAGATTCGCCAAACATTTCATGGAACTCTTCTGTCGTCATTGGCTCGTCGTCATACATATTTTCAGTCTCGAACTCTGTATTGTTACAATCACTACTAGAGCCTTCGTCGTAATTTTCACTTTCAAAAACAGCATCATCTTCCGTGCCGTCTAGTTTGTTGCTAATACAACATTTTTTAAATGATTTTTATAATCATTTCAGAGGGTATTTCGTTCCAAGCATCTTTAACCCACTGAGCAATTAATGTAATATCGGGCTTTTTAATGTTGCCTCCCTTTGTAAATGTTGGACGACCGGAACTAATCCACTCCACCCAATATTTTCTAACATTTACTTTGAAGGGCTTATTGAGGCAGACATCTAGGGGTTGAATGACGGATGTCAATCCTCCCGGAATTACGCCCACAGTCGTTTTTAGGTGTTTTGTCACTTCTTCAGAAAGTGTCCATGAAAGAAATCGTATACTAAAAGAGAAGGTTTTTTGAAAGCTAATTATTATAATTGAATATTCAAAACTGTTCAGTATTGCATGGGCTATTTTTTAAAATTTTGACGTGTACGCCTGTTAGCAAAAGTATTTCATGAATGAACAATAGCTATTATAAAGACTTATACCTACAAAAAACTATCTGCATTTCTCTTTTCTTGGCGTGTTGCCGAAACTTTTTTATTGCTCGATATTGATCAGTTGTTCGGGGGCCGAAAATTCTTTGGTTTAATCGAAACTAACTCTAGTTAAGGTATGAAACTCTGTGATTAGTTCATCACATAATTTAAGTCATGAAATTACTTCAAGTAAGTGACTTATTTGATAAGTCGTCCAATTTGAGTGCGGGAAGAAAACAACTGCATTATATAGACATTTTTGATTCTTCTAATTTTTCTTTTAATTTTTTATGACCCCGCATACAAGTCGACTGCCCCACTTTGAAGTCTTTTTTTTTTTTTTTTTTTTTTTTTGTAATATCTCGACTTATACGCGAGTATATACGGTACATTTATAAGCATATGCATGTAAATATTGAAATTAGATATATTAATTATTAAAGAAGCAATAAATATGGTTTCAATTCAAGAAATTTTTGAACAATGAATTTAAATATTGAATATACAGTCAAAAGTCGTTAATCCGGACTCGTTGGGACTTCGATTCCGGATTATCATTTTTCTGGATTATAGATCATCAGTTTAAATCTGGTAAGATGGCATGCAGAAATTATAAAATTAAAAATATGAAACCGTAATTTATGAAATAAAGAACAATTATGATCTAAAGGGTATCAAAATTTACAAAAAAAAGTTGTTTCGTTTTATGTGATAATACTTTCTCTTTAATTCTATAAACAGACATAATTTCTTGTTCTTTTACAAAGTTTCTCTGTTCAAGTCCTATAATTGCTGTGTCAAGAATACCGACTAATTTGTCAATCGAAAGTTTTTCATTTTCAATAACTTCTGTGTCACTTTCTTCACTATCGGAAGCAAATTATAATGACGAGGAATTTGATTTAAATCATATTAAAGACGGAAAACACGGCGATGAAATACTACATTTAGTAAGGAATTATAAGCCAAATAAAATGAAAAGATCTGCCCTGAAGATAAGGATAGTGCTGACAGATCAACTTCCAATTCATTGCGTGCCGCAGCGTCCCTCCCCACCCCGGCCGCAGAGCAGCGTGAATTTGATAAACTGATTTCGGAATGGTTAAGTCATTTTTTGCAGCAATTCCACTTTTGTTTAATGGACTTCGAAACATACTTTCGCTTTGTAGATCCTTTACATTTTAGTAAATATATATCCAAAATTCTATTTGACATAATCGAAAGTTCAAGCTTACTTTTATAAAATTGCTCTAACAATCTGCAAAAAATAATAAGCCGGATCCAATTTGAAGATTAAGGAACAACGCAATCTGCAACATTAACTGAATAAGATAATTTTAGCTTAGCTTATACCGTCCGTTATACATTAAACGTGCATGCGCACACGCATATTTGCAGCCGTAAAGGTCGTACGTGCATGCGTATGCAACACATGCGCAGAAAGTTTGTAGCTTTGAGGTCCGGATTATATATCATTCCGGATTACGGGTGTCCGAATTAACGACTTCTGACTATATACAGTGGATGTTATTTACTATCCAGTGCCATATTTTAATTGTATATTTATTAAACATAATTGTTGCTATTTTAATTCAACATAAACTCTGTTTTTATTCCCTCTGTAGAGTACCAGATTCATTTGAAGGAGAAAGATCAAGCTCTGAAGCTTCTTCGTTAAGCACTTCATATAATATAGAGTTTACTTTTGATTCTGATGTAAGATGTGCAATTAATATATATTATTTCTGTACTGAAGAAATAACAGCTAATGGTGTTATGTAAGTTCTGAAATCATAATTTTTATAACAATTTATAAGTATTGTATTTTTGTGTCATTGGCCAGTATTTTATAAAATAACGACCATCGGGCTAATTTTCTTAACATAATAATTCTTGTGGCTACTCCTTCAAGAACCAAAAGGACAATCAGTGCAGTTCGCTTTTTGTTTTAATTTTTGCATTCACATCCAGAGTTAATTTCCTAGTATGTCCATTATGATTTAAGCTTTTCTTATATTAGGTTGCTTAGCACCCTCTGACTGATTGCCAAGCCTTGTGTCTAATATCGGGGTTATTCAGTTCGCACCCAGTCCGTGGTATTGCAGTGAGTTGCAAAGACATGAAACCATTAACAGTTTCTACCATTGTTAGGTTAAATTCAGATTTGTTCTGTTTTATATTTGCATTAATTTTGTGACATTTTGCACTAATTTAACATTTTTATTTTTTTAATGGTTCTCTCTCTGTAGATGTGTACATACATACACATATTATTGTGAATGACGATAATGTTTATGGTAGTAATTTAACACGTTGACTGCCACGGCACTTTCTGGATTGCAGTCCAAGAAGCCGAATCGATTTAATCATATTATATCATTAAAAATACTAATGATTCGTGACAATCATTAAAAAGCTTACAGGATGGTGGTTTTTTTTTTTTTTTTTTTTTTTTTTTTTTCTTTTTGTGTGTGTGTGTGTGTGTGTGTGTGTGTGTAGAAAAAAGGGTCCTACGAATTATCTCATAGTCGGCTTTTGTTAGACAAAGCTCTTCACATAAGCCCACTACGAGTTGATTCTTACAGATATGCTTCGACTTGTCGCTTCAGTTGGCTAAAACAAGCTCTAAGCGAGTAAGTAACTCGTAGCGGCACAAAAATGGCAAGTCAAGAAACTACAAGATAACTTGTCTTGGGCATCTTGAAGAAGAGTGCTAATATAAGAAACAGAGAAGAAAAATCTGCAGTCTGACCTTGAGATTAGTTTTAAAAAATACTGCTTCTCATGTGTGTGTGTGTGTGTATACATATATATATAAATTTAACGAACATTTTTTATTCGTAAAAAGCAAATTTAAAATATATATATATATATATATATAATGTTGTATGAACTTAAATCCATTTAGTGCGAATACAAGTTATTATTACTTGCGCAATTGCTGCAAAGTTAGTTAATAATAATTTATTTCCTAAACAGTATTGATTAATTGATTATATTATCTCCTAAGTTTAATTAAAGTAGAATTATTTTAAAAGCCTGCTTTTTATCAACCATTGCCTTAAAAGAGCAGGCGTTAAATACTCACTCTAAATCATTTAACTGATAGGGATATGATAATTTATTCCTAAACCTGAGAAGGCGGTATAAGTTGGATGACTGTCAGTTGAAAGATTTGTATATAGTGTAATTACTCAATTGTATATATTGTAAAAAGCTAATTGTCTTCAGACATATACTGTTAATATACTGTTACTAAAAAAATGGGCCTATTTCCTGCCTTTAGACTGTCTACTAGCTCTTGGACAGCGAAAATGCCTTTTTCCTTTCTTAAATTCTTAATCATTGCGACACGACAATTAGCCAGAAATTAATTAATTTCCATTCACTAGTATTTTTAAAAAAAATCTTAACAGACGGTCTCTCTCAGATAAGAACTCCACAAAATACATCCCTCAAGAATTCCAAGTCCCACCCACTACCATAAATTTCTTCACCCAAGTCTTACCGACTGATATAATTCAAAGCCCCTACTGCCGCTAAGAATTTTCGGACACCCTACACTTCTGAGTCAGACACGAAGAGAACACATTGCCAACTCCCCCACTAGAAAGAATGTAAGTTACTTAATACCTTTCTGGCCTTTATATCTTCATGTACATTCACTGACCTTATTTATATTATTTTCTATTTTATTTTTATATTATTTTTATGTTCTCTTTGATTTGTTTTTACAAAGTTTGCATTATTTATCTTTTTTATAATCTTCTATGTTTATTTCAACTTTACTTTGATTTCGATTTCATAATGACAATTTCCAATGTTTAATTTCTACAAATAATATAGTACTCAAATACATAAAGATGATAGTGTCGGGGACGGTTACTCTAGTTTTACAGGATTTTTCTACAGTAATTGATTTTTACTCCAAATTGAATTGACTAAAATGCTTCATGAGAATAAGTTCTTTGAGTAACAACTATTCGCGGAAATATTTGGCCTGACTAGAATTGCCGGTTTGGCTTTAACTTATAACTCGAGTAAAGACGAAACACTTTCATATTTACGTATTTTTATCAATTATTGATCATTGAACGGGAGTTGGTTTGTTCCCCTTGAAAAGTCAACTAATTTCCGATCAATGACAATAATTACATGTTTTAATTTTTACTTTACAATTGTAATATTATTCTTCGTGATGATTTAACTCCAGTCCCCGTTAAAACATTATTAACATTTTGCTTTCAAATTACTTCAAAAACATCTTTCAAAATATAACTTACCAGTATGGATGCACACTTTTAAAATAATTCTACTTTAATTAAACTTAGGAGATAATATAATCAATTAATCAATACTGTTTAGGAAATAAATTATATATATATATATATAAGCAGTTAAAGTAGTACTTTCTGATTATTTACTTCTCTCTCCCTGAAAATCATCAGCTGTTGGTGACTAATGTTTTGCAAAACCAGGATATGAAAGATGACAGCCATTTTCAAAAATGTCAGCTCACTAAGAATTAAATAAAGCAGCAATCAGTTAAAATTTAAAATGCAAGAAACAGCTATAGTAAAACCTTTTTTTTTTTTTTATGTGCTGTTGTTCCATATATACAGCAATCTGTTTCAGTTTCAAAAATCATCAAAGAATTTGAAAAACTCAGTATTACATACAACTTGACACTGTGCATATTATCATTCTTCTCATGTACACAGTGATAAAGTTTTGCTTAAACATGTCAGAGAATTGTAAAAATTCAGCATTTTGGCACAAATTTTGATTGTTTGAGAAGTACAATATCATGGAATGCAAGTTTTTGCCTTCTCTGCTTTGGATAAAATGGCCATATGGCTCAGAAAAACAGTGCTCTCTTTTTCATCAGCTGCTAGGCTCCACAGTTTCATGATTCCTTACAAGAAAAAAATTATATCGAATGTGACAAAAACAAATGCAGTGTAAAGACTGAAGTCCAGATGTAAAGTACCTGAAATAATCTAAGTCCGGACATCCAGAAAATAATAACCCAGATCCAATTTGAAGATTAAGGAACAACGCAATCTGCAACATTAACTGAATAAGATAATTTTAGCTTAGCTTATACCGTCCGTTATACATTAAACGCGCATTAATGTATAACGGACCAGCGCAAGATTACCAGCAACGTTTTTTGTTTTTCTGTGCTTTACGCATGAGCATTTGATATTTTTCATAAACGTGGAGAGAGTCCTGATACTTACTTTCACTTCTGCACTTATAAAATACTAAGAAAGTATCATTTATTATTACAGCTTCTGAATAATTTATATACCTGATGAATCTTTGCTTTCATCACCGTGTGACTAACACACAGTAGCTTGAGAAATGACTTCTGCAGTGATATCTAAAGTTTTTTCTAAGATTAGTAATTAAATATCTATGAACAAGAAAACTTTTTATGTTAACATTACACTTGGCAATGATTACAAGCTTCAGCTAACTGCACAGCGTAGTGTCAAATGTGTTGGTTAGGAGAAGCTTAACATGAATTCCTTTCCATATGCAAAACATAGGTTTTGTAAATGATACTCATAGGCCAGTGCTTGAATTGAGAATAACTGATTTGTTATTCAGATAAGCCTAGAAGTGGCTCCAGGACTCGTGCAGCCACACTGGATGTAGAATTTAGGAAAGACAGAATTTTAAAATTTAGACAAGCACCAAGCAACAAAATTAAGGGATGTCAAAATCTTTAGAATTTAGGGGGCACTTGGCAACAGAATTCAGAACATATAAAGCTGCAAAATGTCTGGCATTGGGCCCTGGATGAACCTTAATATATTCATTGCTGATCGCACACTGGCGTGCAATGTGGTATTATTGCTGAAGAGCCAGATATACTATTGAATGGTGTGGAGTTATGTCTCAGTTGCCATTCACACACTAGTGCAAGAAAAGCAGTACCTCGTACTAATTTTGTATTTAAATCGGCATTTTGTTTTCAGTATGTATGCTGTGATGGATTGAAGATTATAAACTTTTCCTAAATGTGTAAGGTTTCAAATTACATCAAAATTTCATTTCATGCGAAGATTATATATGAATAGTATTCTGCAATGTATAGTTTGTAATAATATTGTTGCAACTACCTTGTAATAAATTCATTTGTAAGGTATATATGTTTGTAGTATAGGTTTAATACAAAAGTGATGCATATTGTTACTTATTTTTCTTATTTTGTATAATTTTTAAATGCCGTTCGGCAACATGTAATGTGGCATTAGGGAAAGAATTTTACCTCTGGTACCAGTAATGCTCTGGTGCATAGTAAAATTTCTCTGATTAAAGGCTTAGCAGTCAGTGTAATAGACATAATAATCTTTTAGTACGTCTTTTAAATGATATATAAAATACTTATTCCATTGATGAAAAGTCTGCAGTTTTCCCACCTTTTAAATTGTTTTACTGTAGCAGTTGCTATAACTTGCAATAGCTAGTGAACATTGTTGATAACGTGTTAATCAGCTCAGTTTTAAATTTTCTCATACTAATGAGTTGAAATTTTCTTTGTGTTAGCTATACTCCCCGGGATCCATCAATGAATTCAGAAACTTACCATTATAAGAAAGGAGTCAATCAGCAGTTTAACCAAGTTTCTCATGTCTTTGATCCTAGTAAATACTCAGAAGAAATGGTACGATTTTCTCATTAATTCTGCCTTTATTTACAACAGTTCTAAAGTTTTAGCAACTTTATTAAAATTTATTGCTAGAATAATTTTAATCAGAATGCTGAGGATATACAATTTCAGTGAGTTATTTTTTTTTTTTTCCCCTCCAGTTAAATTATAAATTTGAAGATGAAGTTATACCTGTGATAATACAATGTGTTGCTGAAGAAGGAGATGGTAAGATAATTATTTTCTTAATTTGAGGAATTAAAATATATAGAGAGAGGGAAAAGGTATAATGAGTATTTTATTTTTAAATTATTAATGTATCAGTATGTTTTTTACAAATTAAAAATCATAAAAACTGTTTATCTTGGTAATTTCATTTAAGGTGCTTTCCAACAATTTTAGAAAGTATATCAATTACCGTAATTTCGCGCGTATAGTCCGCGGACTATCTGTGTTTAAAATGCGAATTTTTGAAGCTGCGGACTATCCACCAGTGCGGATAATACGCTGGTTGTTCACGGTTAAAATCGTTGAAATTTAAAAAACACGCTGTCGTGAACTGCCGATGATCAAATATAAAAAAAGCACGAGATTCCAAGAAAACATTCGTATGTATCGTATCGATAGTAAACCATAGAACATAGTGCAGAACGAATGAGTAGTAGCAAGTAGAGCTCCTAAATTCCAGGCTGGCGCATCAAGCGATGCCGGGATATGAGCCAAAGAAAGTCTTGCATGAACACTCACTTAGCGCAACCAGAGTCTTGTATCCCAGTATCCTTCGCACTGCTTTAGCGCAACTGCCGGGAGGGGGAAAAGTAATTGATGCGACAGCTCGTTTATTGCGTTTTAGGAAGCCATAGTAGCAAGTACCTGGAGTACAAAAAAAAAAAAAAAAAAAAAAGCGTGATTCGTTTACTCGGTGGTTTGGCAACACCGAGTGAGTGGGGTCGAAGGTCACATTTCATTACCACTTATGACGAGTATAGCACGTTGCACAGTATTTTGTATTTCATCTTCGATAACGTTGATGAAACATCGCCAGGAAAAAGATGGAAATAGAGTAGCGGGCCGTTATTGGTTTAATCCTAGTATTCGGTGCACACGGGATTTGGCTACTTTTGGCGACTTTATGATGAGCAGTAAAAACGGGACATATACGATGAGTAGTTAACGGGTCATTTAAAATAATATATAGTTTAACATAGTATATACTACATATATAGTATATATACTATGTATATACACACATAGTATATATATAGACGTTCTTTGGATCATTTTTGGTGTTGGCGATAATTTTCAAAGTCGCGCCAAGGCTGCACCGTATACTAGGAATTTACCCCGTTATTTTGAAGTGGACGAGAAAGCGGTGAGAAGTTGGCGCAAAGGATGTGTTTAAAAAGCATGGGGATATTGCCGTATTAAAAAAACGTAATTTCGGACGTATAGTCCGCGGACTGTCTGACGATTTTTGAATTTTTTTTATATAAAATCTTGCGTGCGGACTATACGTGTGAAATTACTGTACTTATATTTTGTGTTAATACTTTGTATCTCAACATCATTTATAACGCACGTAAACAAAGAAAGGTTTTGAGGTATGATGTGATTAAAGTAAAATAGGTTTCAAGTTCCCTCTTCCCCAGTATTAATATAATTATTTTTAGATCCCATATGTACAGGGTGCTTTGTTAATGTTCCAGTAAACTCAGAAGAGTGACAGTAGGCATCAAGAAAAACAAAAATTACCTTAGAACATGACTTCACATGTGATTGAAAATTGTGAAAATACAGCAGCGTCTAACATTGAGGAGAAAGATGGCACTGCATTGATCATTGTTTTGGTTTGTGGGTTGGCTCATCATTCTCATGTAAGCAACATCACAAAACATATGCACTAGGGTAGGAATATGGGTTGCAGGCAATGGAAGATAGCACCATTGTGGTGGTAGTCGAATGGAACAAGTCCTTGTCTGTTTATCAATTAGTTATATCATGGATGACTACAAATGTGAAACATGCTAATGTGCGTTTGATATAAGGCTGAAGAGGTACAGTGGATACTTAGCACATTAGATGAGCAGTATCTGAAGAGGCATTTTCCACACTGTAAAATTCATGCAAAATACAATTCATGCAAAATTCTACCTCAATTTAAATTATTTTATATACCACCCTGAAAGGGTTAAACTCTCTCAAGTAAAATAATAATTAACTTATTCAATAATTAAAACCTACAATAATAATTAAAACTTAACCACAAAATTTTGAAATACATTTTTAAATTTTTTATAAATTTATTTTTATAATTGTGTTGATGGAATTTTATCTGTTACAAAGAACTGTCCATCTGTGTTTAAGATTTGCGGTTTTATTCTAAATTTTGTTAAACTGCTGGTAGCTTTTCTTTATCAGCACCTTTCTGTTTAAACGTTTTTCTTAGAATTTAGTGTTTCTATAGCACTTTTTTATTGATATTGGCATATAATTATCTTTTTTATTGCTTACGTAGTTAGTTTCTGCAATTCTTTTTACACTTTCATAATCAGGTTTTATACATATTGCTTCATTATTTTTGTGAATTGCTGCATATTATAAAAATGATCTTTATAACTTCCCTCGCTGATATTTCAAACATAAGCTACAGCTTGCAATTCCTCTAAGGCTGCTTCTACATTAAAACCACATTTTCGAAAATAGTTTTTAACAGATTTTAAGATATTAGACTTTTGCATTGACTATGATATACATAGCTGTAGCAAAAATATTCTCTTGCTGATCTTCTTCAAAAGGCAGTGCAAAATTGTTCTAGAAAAGTAGTTTCAGTGTCTCACAGTGTTCAGTTTTGTGCTTCCTTGAGAAATTTTCATTTTTTATTAGATTTTCATTAATTATAATTCCTTGGAGGATTCTTCTGTAATCAGGGTAAAAGCCAAACTTGGCAACCATTTTAATTTAGTGCGATTTCTCGTTCGCTGTGGTTACCAGCTGCATCTTTTTATTTGGCAAACACAGAACTTTATTTCATTCTGTTTAAAGTTTCATCATTTCTTTTTTTTAAACAATATACTTACCTTGAATACATGAAAATTTCTAATACAAGTAAAGAAATAGTTGGTAAGTATTATTTTTCTAGTTTAATGTTTGTATTGTATTCGGTGTGCATCTTCGTTTGGCAATACAAACTTTCAAGTTGCCAAATGAAAACAACTTGGCATAAACTTGCTCCATTCATGGAATATTTCCCATTCCTTCTTAAAGGAGATTTCACAATGCTGTTTGGAAAACTCTCGCTTTATTTTTCTCTGGCTGCAGTTACAGAAAATAACCTAAGACATCAAAGTCCTTTAACAGTTTATCCTTTTCTGTCTGCCTTATATTGTGTCACATTTTCAACATGTTGCAAGTTAAGCATACAGTAATGTAAAAAATGCTGCTTTCAGTGATTCATTCAAATTTCAGAACTTACATTTATAGCTAGCAGCTAGTCTTTGTATACCCTTTGTCTTAGTTGATCTGCCACTTCATGATTGCAAGCATAACCAATCTTTTGTTTTGAGATGAGTTTAATAAACACAGGGGGAATGTTTTCTATTGATTAGTGTATATACATTTTGATTCCTGGAAATTTGAACGTGAAAACCGGTTGAGTTTATTTACTAGTGAGTTTGATAAGGGCGGGCACCATATGAGTAAAACTGATAATTTTATAATTAACTCTGGCTAAAAATCAATGCAAAAAGGGGGAAAATCACATTTAAAAAGAATGAAAGGGAGAATATAAGCAGAATTCTAACATTTTGATTACAAAATATACAGTTCTTTTAAAACCAACAAGACATCCTTTCATATCCTTCTCTGCAGTTTCAGAAAAGCTTATCATAACTTATTGGTTTAAAGATTAAATTTAATATTCAACACCAGTTTTTTTTTTTTTTTTTTTTTTAGAAAATAATTAATAAATTGTGTGGATTACTTGTTATTTTGGCTTTTATGGCAAAAATCACCGCTGCACAAATCCAAAATAACAAGTGAAACAATTGCACAAACTCGTTATCCATGTACACATCGACCTATTTTCACTTTAAAAAAATCATCAAAGAATTGCACAAACTAGGCATTGCGCACTCCCTTGACTTTGTCCATGTACACACCAATCTATATTCACTTAAAAAGTCAAAGGAGCAGCCAACAAAAAATATAATCTCAATAAACTACATTTTAAATCAAACAATGAACTAATATACAAAAGGAAATTCATCTTAGCACTACATGAAGTAAATATCCACTTTCCTTATTTATGAATTTTCATGTCTTCAGTCAAACAAAATTCCTTAACAGCATCCAAAAACTTCATAACTGGCATAAATCATAAAATTATCTAAACTATATTCTGACATCACTGCATAAATTCACAAAAATAAGAATCAAAAATATCCTTCTTAGTGCTGGTATCATATGAAGTTCAACCATACGCATTTCCTTCCTACAAACAGGATGCTTATAATGGCTACTAAGTAAACCTTCATTTACTCATCAGTCAGTTAATGCTTTTTTCCCTTTTGTTCCAAATCGTACAGAAACTACAAATTAATCTTACCACATTTTGCCATGTAAACCGCAAAATAACAACGTACTTCTTATCCAAAATCCAACACACTCAAGCCTTTCCAAATCTTTTCCCATCATTCAAATTCACCGCAATTATGCAACCAATTACGTTGTAATAGAGTTTCCATAGCATTCAACCATAAATTACCATAAATGGTTACCATAAATGAAACATCAACTTAGCAATAATCCAAGGGGCACCCTTGAATCTACTCTAGCCAAAAATCAAGTCATTAACCATTTTAAGTTGCTCTGCAAGTAAAAAGTAAATGTTCTTTTTATAATTTTTAGTTCCATTGGCAATATATCTGAAATTAAGTGGTGCTTTATAGAATTTGGGAAGAGCATAGAGGTTAGAAAATTTATTGTTTTCAGTAGGAAATGAAATTTTAAGATCGCAGTGAAAAGCTTTAAGCTTGTTTATTATGAAGATTTCTTTCCTTTTTTTTTTTTTTTTTTTGTAAGTAATGGATTGATTGAATTCTGCTTCTGTTATTTGGGTGTAATTTGTTTTTTCAAATAATGCTGAAGTTATTACTTGCCTTATCTATTTTAGTGATAGTAAATTTTTTTTAAAAAACTCGTATTTTGTGCTTCAATTTGTTTCTATTTAAATTACCTGAAAATTTTAACTTTTTAATCTGATTTTTATTTTGTTAAAAACTTCTGT